GGTCGATGGCCTGTCACCTCATGAAGATGCTTTGCCATCTTGCGATCACCTGCTGTGGGCTTGTCATCACCAGACACCACCACATCGTCATCCTCATCTTCCTGCTCGGCCGGGTTGTCCAGCATGAAGTGGTCCCCATTGCCATCATGGTCGTCTCCATCATGGCCATCCGGTTCATCTGAAGGTCCGGGGGGTCCTCCATCATCTTCACCACCATCATCTCCACCGCCTGGGTTCTCGTCGTCCAACTCCTCAATGACATTGATCTCAAGCATTGACCATTCTCGCTCGATGCCTTCAAGCAGAGTCTCAGCGAGAAGGGGTGGATAGTGACCTGCAAGGCGTGTCACCTTGTTGCCACCAATCGCTGCTTCATGGTGATGTCGTCGGTCACACCTGAACCCATCCAAAGCTGCTGCAACCTCCTTCGAGGACGTGAGGAAGGTGGTCGGCTTGTAGTGAAGTCCTCCTCCAGCTCCTCGCAACCCGAAAGCACATTGGTCGACTCGGACGTGGTAGAGATCCAGGTCCTTCGCATTCTCAACCAGCTTGCGAAGCTTGCCAACCAATCTCCAGGCCGCTGAAGTCGCCGGGTTCTCCAGGATGAAGTGGTTCCCGGAGAGGACCTGTTCCACAGCCTTCATCGCAGCATACTCCACCAAGATCTTCTCGTACTTCCTTCTCTTGGCAAGTCGGGCTATCTTCACTGGGTCACCTCTTGTCGTCATATTGATGAGGTTGGACCAGACACTGCAAGGAAAGGCGATCATCAGGCAGAAAGGTCTGTTGTTCCTGATGTCCATGTTTGCCCTTCTGCGATCATTGACCTTCAGCAAGTCGTAGCCAGTCTTCAGGGTGATAGACTGCATGATCGCATGACCTTTCCGAATCGCACAGGCCGACACCGGTTCAGTCTCCGTGTAGAGCTCTCCAACCATGGGGTACCGGTGAGGATCTTCTCGAAGAGTGTTGTGATGAAGCTGCACGTAGACCTCCACCGACTTGATCAAGCTTCCATGAGGTACTCGATGAACAGCTCGGTCTCGATGAAGTACCTTTTCTTCCAGCATCATCCAACCATCCTCAGCGGTGCGAATCCATGAAGAGATCGGCACTGTGCTATCCACAGGAAGCATGCCCTTCTGGTTCATGGTGTCGAAACCAACGAAGAACTTGTCACCATTCTGACAATCATGAGAGCCTTGTTGTCCAAGCATGACTGCAGTCCTTATCGGAAAGCTGAACTGCTCCCATGACCATGGTGGATAAGCATGTTCAATCCACTCTTGCTTGATCTCAAGCCAGGTCTCTCCTTGAACTGCCACTTGACTGTGAACATGACTCTGAGTGTTCCAGCTGTCCTTGAAGTTGTCATTCCGGACAAAGTTGATGTTGCCCTCCTCATCGCAGAACACGGATCTTCGCAGACCAGTGAATGCCTCATTGGGAAAGAACCTGGGCACCGTAGCCGTCGACGGGTGGAAGAGGATCCTCCTGGGGCAGTAGTGGTCTCTGCAGATCCATCCATTGATGTGGCCAAAACGCCACTCATCAGTCAACCGTCGATGAAGTCGGCTTGGTCGTTGAAGTTGTTCTCGAAGTCCTGAGATGGGCAAGCGGATGCAGTCAAACCGACTGGCAGGCAGAGGCGGCATGTGGAGGTCCGCCATGAACACTTCGGCCTCCTGACCACTGGCCACCTTGTCGATGAAGTCGACGTACTCTGCCTCCATGATCTCATTGAGATAGCTAACTGGAGCACCCATCTTATCTCTCATTCGTCTGGCCTTCATGACTCCATCTCGAACTGCCAGGCGCGCACCACTCTTCAAGTCCTTGAAGGCTGCTTTCCCCAGGGTGCCAACTGAAAGCTTCACAGCATCTGATCGTCTGTCTCGTTCAGCTGGTAGAACTGAGGAGTGAGTACCCAACCTTCCTGAACTGAACGGGTCTGGGGGTTGAAGTGGTCGAAGTGGACCTGCCCATCCGGGTTCATTGGGAGTCCCCAAGGTACTTGGAGATGACTCAAAGTTGGGGCTTGTGCAGTTGGTCCTGTTGGTGCTGATACTTCCATCGCTTTCGAGCCAATCATTGGTCCTTTGAGGTCGCTGCCTTCTGCGGATCCTTTGGATCTCTCTGGGCTCGAGCCAAGGGCTTTCCCCATCAGAACGTCCACCATCGGCTTGCACTTGGCCTTCAACTGGTCGTTGGTGTCCTTGGGGTCCACGGTCACGTTCAGGAGAACCGCCAGCTTGACTAGGTCTGCCTTGTTGCGAGGCATCCCGCCTCGGGGTCCGAGAAGCTCTCTGGCGAGTTCTTCCTTCCGGCCATCCAGCTCTGCGATTGCTTGGTGCGTAGCCTGAACTAGTGCAGCTTGCTTCCGAGCACGGGGAGGTTTCTTCAGTGCCTTGATCCCGAACATCACGGCCTCGTCTTCCATGAACGCCTCCTCCAAGCCCATGCGGTTGCGGAGCATCTGAGCCTCTTGAAGGTGTAAAAGACTCATCACCTCCTGGGCCTTCGGCAACCATCGCTTCGGCCACACCTTGCGTCGCACCATGTCCTTGAGCTGGGTCTTCCACTCCTCCGCATTCGTGACCACCGGCAAGGGCACGGGCAGGAAGCGCAGGAATGGACGTTGCACCAACCACAGCATCACTCCCTTCCAATGCCAAGTCCTCCTGGCAGCCATCCGCAGCAGAAGACGTTGCCATCGCGAAGCGGTCGGGGAGATCTCGAAGAGATTGGGCATCATCTTCGAGCTGCCAGGACGAGCTTGAGCTGAAGAACTCCGGGATGTAGTGCACAACCGTGTTCAAGTCACCATCAACGTCAGTCGAACGATCAACTAGTCGATTGTGCGCCTTCCATGCGACTCGACCTTCACATTGAACCTCACAGCAACCTCCGACACCTACGACATGCCATGCGAGAGGTCCAAGCGTCGGCCACGAGGTCAAGGGTTTTGGGAGGAGGTTCAAAGAAAAGTGACCTGCTTTCATCTTGCTCAGAGGTGTCCATTCTTCAGTGAGGTACTTCAACTGGAGTTTCTTTGAAGAGAAGTTCAAAGTAGCCCCCAAGCTCTCAAGGAAGTCTTTCCCCAGCAGGCAACCTAGTGAATCGCAAGGAATGGCAGCTAGCCAAAGAAGCACCACTTGGTTTTTCACGACAATCGGCAGCCTGATGCGCTTCTGACTCTCTAAGATTCCGCCATTGCCGAATCTGAAGTAGTCTCTCACCGGCTTCTCCATGATCAGGTTCTTGATCTCTGGAGGCGCATAGTTCAGCGCTGCCTTCATGGTCTTGATCCACTCTTCACCAGCACAGCTCCTGTTGCACGCAGAGTCAAGAGCTGCAACGTACATCTTGTCCAAGCTCAGCTCCGGAGGTCCAGCTGCACTTGCTGTCAAAGCCTCCGAGAGCGTTGAAACCACGTTGATCTCATGGACCGTCGGCGCCAGGTCGAAGGACACGTTGTAGTTTGCACCCTCCAGGAGGTCGACCACGTTCACCTCCGCTGCATTGGCCTCATTGCGGTAGGTCGAAGACTTGGGAGAGGTAGTCGACGATGAAGCTCCTGTCTTGTGCATGGGTTTGGGAAACTTCGGAAGTTGTTTCCCTTTGGCTGAGCTCTTGCCACCAGCAGGACATTCTGGGTCTCCCTGCCAGTGACCAGTCTGGCCACACACAAAGCACTTGCCGTCCTTTGCACCCGTTGAGCCTTTTTTTCCACGGCCCTTTCCACCTTTGAAGCTCGAAGTTCCAGGTCCACGAAACCCACGATCTCTCTTCAAGGCATTGATTTGTGACCTCGCTTCACGAAGGGTCACCAATGCTTCCACAGCTCCTTCAACTTGTTCCTCAATGGCCGCCAGGTCATCATCAGCCTGTGAACCATCTGCCAACTCATCCAGCTCTGTCGCCATGGCCTCAAGGGTTTGTTGAAGCCCCTCAAAGCCGCCAAGACTCTCAGAGTCTCCACCACCATCGTCTTCACCTTCGGCAGGGTGTTCTTCAGCTTCAAAGGCCTCATACTCAGGCGGGTCCTCGTCCTCATGCTCCGTGACATTGACAGAGCCGCCAAAGCCTTTGCCGCCGCCACGCCGCCATGTAGAGCTTGAAGACGAAGTAGTCGAGGGAAAGCTCTTCCGGAACCGGGACAATGTAGAAGACGTCAAGGAAGTAGGTCGCTTAGCGAAGTTTCCATGACCGCCATGTTGATGTCCCCCATGTCCAGGTCCATGCCCATGTCCAAAATGGACTCGCTTGAAAAGGCGAACAGCCTCCCTCTCGCAGGCACCGTAGTCCTCCGTCTCCACCCCCAAAGTTGTCTCCAGCATCTGCCGCTGCAACTCTGTGAGGGCGAGCTTCTGCTTGAAGAACCACGCCTGCTCGCTGGGGTCCACCATGATGCCTTCGGCCTTCATCTCTCCAACCAGCGTTCTGTACCGAAGTGCAAAGTTCGGTATGCTCTCACTACCTCCACGTCGAAGCTGAAGGTAGTACTTCTCACGAAGCTCACCTTTGCGGTCAGTCTGTGACCTCCCAACCATGTCATCCCAGGAGGCCAGGATCTTCTGGATTCCAGCGTCGTAGACCGCAGGTGTCAACTCAACCATCCCATCAGTCTCTTCATCCTTCACCTTCTCGGCGGGGATGTACTCGAGCTCTTTTGGATCAAACTCCAAAGCTCTCAACTTTGCGCTGCCCTTCTGCCGCATGGCAAACCTTGCGGCCAAGTTGTAGGAAGTGGTCTTCTCCAGGTCGATCGAGTGCAACCACCATTGGACGGCCTTCTTGAACTCTCTGAGGGTCTCGCTTCTGCCGTCCCAGACCGGTATGTAGCTGTCAAAGTGCCGGTCATCCTTCTTCTCGTCCGTCATGAGCTCCACGAGGATGTAGTCCACCACCAGGCAACCTTCTATCCCTTGGCCGAGGGAGAGGCTTTACGCCACCAAGGAAGTCCGTCAGGAAGACCTCCGTGAAAAAGTTCGGTCGAAGTCCACCACCGAGACGAAGTCGTCCACAAGGGCAAAGTCCGCCAAGAAGTTCTCGTCCAAGGTCAGTGACCTCAACTCAAGGTCAAAGACCACCAAAGCCAAAGAGCGGCCAGCAAGCCGCAACACGTAGGACTAGCGTAGTCCACCAGCAAAGCCACCAAAGCGAAGCCGCGCAGAAATGGCCCGGAACCCTAAGGCTCCGCTGCCACTGTAAACAGCGGCACCCGAGATCCTACGAAAGAACGAAGGAAGCGGAATGCGCACACTGCTTTGTGCCGTTGGAGCCAAATGCTCAAGGCCTGTTCGGCCGCAGTGAAACACATCCAAAGGCCATGGGTGCATTTCCACAATATATATATATATATATTATGTATATATATATATATATCACATACAAACAGGTCACGCAGACGGATGCCACACTCTCGGTCATGGAGCGAGCTCTGCTGAAGCTCTTGTCTCTCTTCTTGCTGTCACTTCGCCCTGCAAACCAGGAGCGCAACTTATCCATGTTCACCACCTCTTGCGGCGAAAAAAAACATGGTTGTGTCTGCTTCTACTGCTGCCTCGAGCTACAACTGCAGCTACAAACCTTGGCGATCCTGCTTCCAAACGTCAGTGAAGACAACGAATGGACAAGCCAGTTCTTTCACCGTCTGGGACCGTTTAAACACGGACCCTCCCTGTCCCAACACGGCCTCCAGCTTCGTGCGGAGTCTTCCCGGGGCTCGCTGGCCAAGCTCCAATCTGCCTCGCGCGGCGGAGAGCGGCATCACGGCCATGACTGGGCATTCCGTTGTTATTTGTCTTGTTCCTTTTCTCGTTGGTCTCGGAAGCACCGCAGTGCAACCGTTGGCGCGTTGGCCACGGGCGTGATGTCCCACCCGGACCGTCGCCTTTCGGGTCCGGGCGGTCCAGAGCCTCGGTCGCGGTCCGCGCCGGGTCCAGTCTGGTCAAAGTACTTCCCACTTCCTAGAAAGGGAGTTGAGTGCATTGACATGTGGACTTGTCTCTTTCGCAAGAAACATCCTCCCTGTAAAAAAAGGTCATTGTGTCTGATGTTCAACCAATCCAAACTCTTCTGTTCTTGTTGCACGCTGGTCAAACTGAGGAGAGCACTTGCCTTTGACATGTCACCTAGGCTCTTGGCACAGCGCAAGGAGCATCTCCAAGCTGGCTTTGGAATTCCCGGCGTTTGACAGAGTTCCCAAGGTTTCAAGGTACCTGAGGCTCCAAACCCCGGTGTTGCTGTGCATGCAAAGACCTGAGGACCAGCTTTCCGGCTTTCAGACCGACGGTGAGTTGCAGACCGACACATGGACCGAAGCTGCACGAGGCGCAGCTCAACGACTCTACGGCCAAAACCTGGTGACACTGGTTACCAAACCCAACGCCTTTGCCTCACAACATCCAGCATGTCTCCGTTGCCCCCACCCCTCCGTGGTGCCCGACCCGGAGCTCCGAATGGCACGACGCGTCCTCGGCGTCCCGACGGGAGCTTCCGCGAGCTTCCCCAGACCTCGCCCATCCACCAGCTCTCGGCATCCTGCTCACGGGTCCGGTCCGGTAGCCCGGTCGGTCCGGATCTCGGATCTCGGAGGCTCAAGGACTCACCCGGTCACGGTGAGAAGACCCCAACGACCAAAGAGTGCAGGTGATCATGGACTGTGTACAGGATAGGGAGACATGATGCTTAGGCAATCTGACCCCAGAGGTGTCCTTTTTGATTGGCAAATCCTTTCTCCAGCGCGTATTCCATTGCAAGCATGGCAAGGCCGACGGCTCGACTTGCTTGGAGGTCGACGGCCTCACAGTCGACATGGAGGTCGACGGCAGATCCGTCGGCGGGCGTCGGACCCCTCCGTCGTCCGTCGGGGTTGAAAGCCACAAATCCGTGAGGGTCGGGATCTGATCGGTTCAGCACAAGTCATTGACGAAAATGGCCTGAAATTTGCTCATGAGCCGATGTCTTTGGTCACAGCCAATAGATTCATAGATGTTCGTAGAGTAATGGACTAATCAGTTACAGCCACTAAAAACTCATATATAATAACAGTTGCATCCAGCAAAGAAACAGCATACAGAAGCTTCTCTTGATCTTTTAGGATGCACAAGGCGAGAGGTGAATACAGTGCCTCCAATGACCAAAAAATGGAGCAAGAGTGTCAAACAGTCGGATACTCCCCTGGTCTCCAGACTTGGCAGGTCAGTTATTTACAGTTACTGTATTCCTACACCCTGAAATAATCATGGAAGCGGAAACTGGACCCTTGGATGTCCACAATATATCGCAACTTCACTGATCTACCGAATCTACCGAAGTCAGATTGGCCGTCACATCCCGGATCTTGGACCATCCCGTGAGTCTCTTATTGGATCGAACAACCTGAGGTTCGTGACCCCAGGACGCGGTGTCGCTTCTGCGTTCGTCTCCGCTTCGGTTCTTCTCCACGTCTGGGACTCCCCGGCCGCCATGGGGTGCTACGACCACTGGCGCTGCCCCGAGAGACCGGGATGGCCAGGACCTGCCGCAGGAAGCCCGTAGGAAAGGCCCCACGGGCCTTTGAGGCGTCATGGGGGTTGTGCAGGTCGGGTCGATCGTCCGCACCCCCCGCCTGGGTCTGAGGCTTCGGTCCAACCCAAAAGGTCGGAACAGGCCTTGGAGGCGAGCCCGAGCTGAATGGGCGGAGCCCAAGGGAAAAGAACCAACAAGAGGATTTAAAAAAAAGAGCAGACACAAACATCGGCATGCTCTTGGCACACCAAAACCATCCAAGACCCTAAGTGGTGCCAAAATGGATGGCCCCTATGACCATCAGGGAAAAAATGTTTGGAATCCTGAATCTGTTCGGTGATCGATCCGCAGGAGTGGTCCTCTCTTGGATTCCAGCTCGAGGATTGGCAAAGGCCAATCCTGCCACCAGGACGCTCCAGCGAACGTTCGCTCCAGCCAGCGACAAGTGGAGCTACCACAGCTGCTCAAAAATGAATCTGGTTCCCTTGACCAACATGGGATTTGGAGTGAGTCCTGTAGTCAGGACAAATCCCACAAAAAAATTGTCAAACACCTCGGTTGGCGTGACCAATCCTTTCTGGAACCCTCCAGCGCCTTCAGATCGGGCAAGCTTTGAGTGCCATCAACACGACCATTCGGTCCTGGTTTTCGACCGAGGCAGCTGATCACGGACGGTTCTGGTCCAAGCGTTAAAAAATGTTCGCATCACTTCCCATCTGGGGCATAAATGGATACCCATCTGGGACAATTCCTTTTCACTCTTGTTGCAAGGGTACCTCTGTTCAGGGCGGAAGTCTGTGATCTGGCTCTCTGTGAAACACAGGGAAGGCTCAGTGGGAGAGAGAGGACTCCTGGCATGGCATGGGCACGAAAGTCTGAAGCACTGAACGGGCTCCAACATCTTTCGCGAGGCAAACGGCTTCCTCCTGTATTCTCTTGTTGTCACGTCACTTACGTTTGGGACACGGCAGGAACACGTCTCCAAAACTCAAAAACGATGGTCTACACAGCTGTAGATGAAACCCTCAACTGATGGGAGACATCCTCATCTTGCCCTCAATCATCTGTCGTTTGTATGTCATGAACTGAGTACCTGAGCCTGAGGCGCGGCGCAAGTGACACCGACAATGCCCACCATGCCCTCCTATCCGGTGCTCCTTGATTCTTTGTGCTGAGCTCAATATATAATACATTGAATATAGGTGTGTGTGTGTATAGATATATATATATATACACATGCTTGAGTTAGTATAAATACGTACACGAATTTACGAATGTTTGTATTTATATATATACTTAAGCCAGCCTCTGGGTTGGGGGGGTGCCCTTAGGGCAAGCCTGGCGTTTGCTCGCTGGTTGTTATTCATGTCCTGTAGATCGACTGAAAGACTTGGCGCGCAAGATGAAGTGATTGGGTAACACCGCGTAAAGAGTGCTTTCATGGGGTGAAGTTGACATCGCAGCCACCCCGATAGGGGGTAGAAACGGAAAGTAGAATACATAGGTTTGGGGGGGGTGCCCTTTTTCGTCCCGGTTCAGGGGCGTTTTGGAGGTGAAAAAGGGCAGGGACGCTTGCCTGCTGTGTGTTGCAGATCAGTGAGCAAAGATGTACCCCCACACCCCCTTTACTCACTTCGCTCGCTCCCCTAGACTCCAGCCTAGCCTATCGGCTGGCTTTCGCGATATATAGTTATTTATATATATATATATATATGTATATATATATACATACCTGAGAAGGGAGGGGACAAAAGCCAGCCTCCGTAAGAAGACATCAATATGGCAATGGAGGGTGAAGTCGAGAGCGCACTGGAACATTTTGGGCGTGGGGGGGGGGCGCCCCTGGGTGGCGGAGGGGCGTTTGCCTGCTGTTGGTTTGTCTTGTGTTGTAGGTAGGCTCGTGGGTCGGTGTGCTGCTAAGGGTGGACCGGGGAAGGTTTACTGCTGAGATCACGCAAAGACTTCGGGGAAAGATTGCCGTTGTGGTGCGGGACGTCGACATAGCAGTGATGCTACTGCTGTTGGAAACAGAAAGCAGAATACATGGGTTGCGGGGGTGCCCTTTCTTCGCCCGGCTCAACGGCTTTTTCAAGCTGAAAAAGGGCACCGCCAAGCAATTCAAAACTTGCCCGCTGCATTCTGTTCTCTTTCCTGCCCCCAACAGACCGCATCAGTACATGAACTCGCACCCCATATGGGGTGCCCTTTTGCGTATGGTTGACAGGCATCTGAACCACTCAAAAAGGGCACCCCCAAGCAACGCCCAGATTTCTTGCAAGCCCTCTTTTCCTACCCATCCTCAGATCACACAGTGTCTTAAGAGACACACACCTCCCTGTCACGCCTAGTCGAACACTACTTCAATGGCCACCAGACGTACATCTCCCTTTCCTGGCTTTCCTGGAAGAGTTCCAACCGCTTTTCACGTCCCGCTGTCCCCGCTGTCCTCTCATCGACATGAACTCCCACCCCTGGTAGAAGACGGTTTACATTGCCTCCTGAGCCCCTCATGATGCGAATGATGCAGTACTCGCCGTCAATTACATCACTTGCATCACAACACCCCAACAACCATACATTTTCTGTCGCAATCGAGTACTCGTTTTTTCGCTCTCCCCCACCAGGCTCTGGGCTAGCTCTCCGAAATTGACCCGTGTGCGACCACCCCCCCCCACACCCCCTTACTCACTTCGTTCGCTCAGTCTAGCCCTATCAGGTTAGCCCTCCGAAATTGAACCGTGTTCGACCACCCCCCCCACACCCCCTTACTCACTTCGTCGTTTGACCAACCCAACTTCAGCCTAGCCTATCGGCTGGCTTTCGCGATTATACCTTTAGCCTACAAAGATCCAGATCTCTCAAGGACGGCTTCTTGCACTTGTTCTTTCTCATCTTTGTGGACACGCAGAGAAGTTGTTTTGGCCCTACCGCTATTCCAGCAAGCATATGAACCCCTGCATCACGCACACGTGCTGAACGATAGTGTACGTTTTTTCTCTGCAGACTCATCAGAGTCTGGAGTCACTATGCACAATGCGGACATGCCATGAGGCAACTTTGCACAGCTTGCAATGCACTGATGAACTGTGTGGTGGTGCAAAATGCCGCGAACCACATGCCTCCCAATGTAGCACAACTATGAGCAGATTGAATATGACTTACCGCAATGCATCATGCGCATGCTCTTCTTGTCAAATTATGGGAATTCTCTTGAATAAGAGGCCCTGAGGGAGTAAAGTCAGAGAAGACCATACCCGAACATGGTTGTCGCCGGATAAAAGGAGTTGGGGACCACAGTGGCTGCTTCATGCGAAGTTGCCCAATCTGCACACCAATCACTCATGCAGAGCGAAGCAGCAGATGCACACCCACCTGAAACAAGGCAACAAGTGAGGTGCCTGTTGAAGGGTACCTACCTCCCAAGCTGACACAAACACTTGGGTCAAACGCTCCTTTAGATCAAGGATAGTCAAGGATGCTTTTCAGAAACTTCCGCTTCGGATCCCGTGCAACATTCACGCTTCGAATCTGCCAAACCTACCTTTTCCCCGAATCTCAACCTAACTGCTCCCATGCTCTCGCGCTCTGCGCAGAAACCAGCGAGCATGCCGTCACGGCCCAATTTACCGGAGCCTTAAAAGGCCGAATCACCGGCCCAATCACCGATGCACCTCTGAGGACACGAGATCGCTCATCTCACCCACCTGAAGCGGACGACACGTTGGAGCCCGGTGGGCTCCAAAGGCACCGGCTAAGCATCCCCAATAAAGGCTACGTAGGTTTGGGGGGGAGGTCGGAAGCCATCTGAACTTTGGAGTTGAAGTGGGCGGTTGAAGTTGTTCAAAAATTCAAGACCAACCAGAGTACACCCCAGAACCATCCAGAACCACAAACCAAACATACCCAGGGTAAACCAAAATGAAACTTTGGTCCAAAGCCACACGTAGCTTGCAGGTCGCTCTTTTGTCTGTCGGTGCCTCCAAGTCAAAGGCGGTGCGCAGCACCGGCGCTGGGACTGCAGGCCTGTGCAGGTGAGGTCGATCTAGAAAAGAGTCGGTCAACGTTGGTTGACCTTGGTGAGCCATAATATAATATATATAGGTCAGCTGATTCGGTGTGATCAAGGAGCCATTCCAGTCACCGTCGCACGGCCGTGATGGAGCTAAAATTGGTTGATCCGCACTGGGCAGGGACCGCAATATTCAATATTCAGTGCAAATAACGCGACACGGCACAACATCTCAAGAATCAACAAGTCGCGCAATTACCTTTTCTCGCTGCGGTGGATTCTTCCTTCAGGTTGGGCACACCAAGCCGGAACGGAGTTATGCATTTATGTCCCAAGCTTTCCTTGGCGCGCGAAAAAGAATGAAAACGACTCTTCCCGGGCGACGACTATGGACAGCCTGACGGCGAGGTCTTCCCACCGAAGAATCATGAAGCGAAAGGACTGGAGCAGCCGAAAGACCGTTTCCCCCTGCTCTCTGCGGTGGAAATCCACCTGCAGCGTTCCGGACCGGACGGCCGAAGGCTCTTCACCTCTGGCTGCCGGAGCAACGACAGCGGTATTTCTGGGGCCCAACCGCGACCGCTCCAAGCGCCGCCGCGAGCCGCCTGACCATCTTGGCGTTGGCGCGCTGGGCGTCAATGCCTGGCTGAAGGCAAATTGGCACGCGTGTTCCCGAACGGGCACGCTCCTGGAGGAGATGAAAACCCCAAGCTCCTCAAGGTTAGATGCGTGTCACACGAAAACACCATTGCCATTGACTGAAACCGTCATTCATTCAGGTCCGTAGAGCATGAGGGAACCGAAACGCCCAAGACATGTTGGGCATGTTGGAGGACCTTGGAGCAAATACAGGTCTTCCATCAGTCACCTGGAAAAACATACGAAGGATCGCTTGCGTGCGACCCGTCTGAAATTTGAAAGCGGGGGGGTCCATTGACTGAGTGGAACAAAAACACCACCGATCGCAAAGCACCTAAAGCACCACCGCGCCTTTATCCTTGTCAAGCCATCCCAAATCACCCGCCAGCTCGCCACCCTGCAAGGAGGACTGGCCTCGCGCACAGTTTTGTTCCAGCGCGCAAGAGTCAACGGAGAGGAGTTGGGCAAGTTGAGCATCATCTGGTCGAATGAGTCGCGGACTAGCTAAAGCACCAGCTCAAAAATGTGGTTCCTCGTCCTCTCGCCAGTGGATGTCACAATTTAGTATTTGGTACATCAACCTGTTCCTAAACTGCTCTCTGTGGATCCAACATCAAACCGATGCAACCCGTGAAATTCCCTCTGAAAGGCCTACTGTATCGTCTGTATCCGATCCAAACAACACTTCTGAGACCTCCCGGGCATTGTCCACCGGGCTCCCCAGCACTCCGATGTCGTTCGGCAGGCGGCCGTGAAGGCCTTCGCCAGCGTGGCGCCACCTCAGGGACATCCGAGAACGCCATGGTTCCGCAAGGCATAGGATGTGATTGGAGGATGTTCATGGATTTTAGAGGTGCTTTTTTGCTGGCAACCATCTCCCTGATTGAGACGCAAAAGGGGGTCGAGATTACTCAAGGGTGTCTCTATGAAAGGGGAGTTGAGGGATGACCTGTTTTGTGCGATCGACTCTGGCAAGTAAAAACCAAAATCCTCTTGCAAGTCTCCAACTGACAAGGACATTTGAGCAAATCGATGCAAATCGTTTGAAGCTGATTCCTTACAAATCAAAACCTTGCTCAGCCTTCCATCCGACACGAAAGCTCAAGTTCGCCAAATCTGAGAAGCGGGACCCTCTTTGGACAGTTCGTCCAAGACCTGCCGGACGTGTTCGTTCCGGGCGGACCAGACCGACACTCCGCGGAAGATGGAGGGCGCCACCTGTTTGGTATTCGGAAGATGGTCCTCCAACAGGCCATTTTCCACTTCCATGATTGTTTCAAGGGAGTGTAGACCAAAACCAAAACCCCTTGGGGCGGGGGTTAAGCTGGGGAGATTTGAGGTGGTGGCTGCCACCTTGAGCCTTGACAAGAAGCAAAGCCACAAAACCCCTTGGGTGGGGGGCGAGTCCCAGGATCTCCCCGGCCAAGTTGTTCACATGTTCTCTCGAAAATGGCTTGCAATGAACTCGGCCAGCGTAAAACTGTGCGTGTTGAACCACAAAAGCTTCTTCCAGCGTGGCAACCACTCAGGAAATTGCACCTGCAGCATCCGCTGTTCAGCCTCCTAGAGGCAAGGGCGACTGACCACATGTTCACCAGCAGCAAACTATATAGAATCAATCTATAGACATATAAATCTACATAGCCTTTTCTTCAAGTTTAAAAGCTTCCGGAGTCTTTTTCGGTGGGATTAAAATCGCTTAGCGCCAATGCCTCAGGGCCTCCGGATGTATTGGATATCCACTCAACGGAAATAGCCTGTCGGCTGAGACCAACATTGCTGAGACCAACGTGATTAAACAAATCCTGGACCACCACCGGGCCCTGGTGTAAACCGCGACAGCAATTTCAAAACAACTATATAGTCACCACCCTTGGTAGTGTGGAACTATGATTTCCATGGAATTTCTATGGTAGACTGGGCAATTGCTTTGACCAGCACCCCAAAGAAGAAACGGATGAATCTCTCCTCCGGGCTTCGAAGGATCTGCTTGCGTCGGACCGGGTCCTGTCGGGCAATCAGAACAAGGTAGGGGGCTTTTGACTTGACTTTGCTGAGCTGTCAGGGGCTGTCGCCCACAAAACGCCTCGTAAAACTTGTATGTATATACTGTATAATATATATATATATAATTATATGTATATGATATGTGATATGTATGTGTATAAACCTGGAGAAACGGCCTCATGGCCGGTGCCGGTGCTGGGGCTTAAGACTGAGTTTAACAATATCTTCTCACATTGAAAAGGTTGAACTGCAAAGCTGATTCAACAAGTGCCCGGATTGCCCACTTAGGGGGAAAAAAACAACATGAAAAAAATAGCCAGAAGTACGTAATGCAATATCATAATATCGTTCGCAGCATCCTGTACATGAACATGATTCATTCATCTATTTAAACAATTGATCTACATGCCCTTGCATTCCTGTGTCTATTCACCTGTCAAGGATTCCCAATCTGTCGGCTCCTCTGGCTTCGGTGCCGTTCCCCCACGCCAGGCTCGCAAGAGGATTTGCCGGATGCGCACGCGTCCGGGCACCTGGCAGGTGCGGCAAGGTGGATCGCTTGGTGTTGCAGCAACAGCAGCTGCTGCGTCCCTTGACCCCTCGTCACACTGGGCGGCCGCGCCTCCCTGGCATCCACACCCACCACGCGCTGCCGCTTGGCAGGCTGCCTTGGTGAACGGTCGGTTGCAAGTGTGGCCAATGAAAGCCTCAGCAAAGGACCCCAAAAATGCATCTTTTGTGGATGTAGTGTAGCACTTTGGAAAGAAGGAGGAATGGCTTTCCACAACTACCGCTGGAGCGGCCTTCAACTGCCGGAGAGAAATGAATCCAAGAGCAACATCCACGTGTCCAAAAATATGGTGGGGGGGAAGCCAACCCAGCCAACCCAGCCGCCGAGGGGCCCTGGGACTGACGTGGCGGGCCCAGCTGGACCACCTGAGGCTGCTAACCTGACCGTGGCGGGAGGTTCTCCCGCGGGTCATCCTCCGAAGGGCCTCCGCAACCTCTCCGTCCACCGGTGGGTGTGTTCGGGTGTTCGGCCAGGGTGCCAACGGAGCGTCACCCTGCCTTGGTGGGTTTTTGGCTCCACTCCCAAAAGACTCCAAAGGACTGATTAGTTCTTGAATCTTGATGGAAGTGCTCAATCAGAAACTCCTAGACCTAGACCTTGCCTAGAGCTGGGCTGGTACGCCCAGACCTGCCTTGTCCCAGCATGGGTGGTCCTCCGCGCTCGGATCCCACGCGCCTCATGCAACCAATGCCGACCCCTTGGGCAGCCTGCCGCAGGCTCAGACTGGCTGCTCGTGGCCTGGCGCCGCAAGAAATGGCATGAAAGTAGGGGAAGCCATCAACCAAAGTTGAGAAAGAGCATGGTACTCTTCTAATATGCGGTTTTTCACCCCCTCGTTACAGGATCCGGATCCACCTTTCAGAAACCGGTGCAACAAAACCATTCCTCCACCGGTCTCGGTTTGGTTCCCCACCTGGCTTGAGTGAGGTGAGGCAGCACCACTTCTCGGATCTGCGACCATCGATTCGGTCGAAGAAAGGGCGACCAGGCGGGTCTCCCCGCCCGCGTTGTGATCATATTCGGATCTGCGACCCCTAAAAGGCACAAATCACAATAGATGAGTCATAATGGACATCTGTTCTATATGTCTATGCGATCCATTGAGGAATCCCAAAAATGTAGACATGCGTATCTTGACATGGCTGCGGCTGCAGGCCCTCTGCAGGTCATGTCGCAAGGGAACATGTGTCTTTTTCCAAACGTCCAGCCCTCTTTGTTTTCTCGAGTGAGTCGCAGTAGGGTGGTGACCGGTTTCATGGAGGTGCCCGTTCGCACAAATCCGGTGGCTTCGTTCAAGGACGGTAGACCTAGAACCTGATTGACCCTTATTTTCGGACCACCAAGCATCCAGAACTTGGTTGACTGCCAATGGGCTCCAGGGTTCTTGGTTTTTCCATGCCCACTGCACCGCCGACTGCGCAGCAGACTGTGCCTCTGAAGCCTTTAGACCCAAATCTCCCATCGAGAGGACCACGTAGGCAGCACCAGACTTCTCAAAGTCGTGGCAAAGCACCTGAGACTCGTGCACCCTGTATAGATCCATACAATTGCCGCGCCGGGCTCGGGAAACCAGCCGGCGCAATCCCCATGTGTTCTCAACGATTCAGATCATTCGCCAGGGTGACACCGGCCAGTGTATCTGAGACTTCCTCCCTGCTGGCCTTTGAATCTCGCGCTTCTGCAGAGGCTTCTCCTCCTAGCCTCAGGATGCCAGCTCCAGTGCATAGTTTGTCTAGATACAATAGTAACAGTAGCAGTATATAATAATAATTACAGTACCTCTTCAAGAATCCTTACTTCACACTTCATGAAGTCTGCTTTGGTGACTCCATGTCCCTCTGAGGGTCCGAGCTCCCCGAAACGCCAACACCGTGCCCCCCGAAACGCCGCAGCGAAGGCTCTTTGGCCCACCACCAATGCCAGCGCGATACTTTGGGCCTGCGCATGGGGAGCTGGGAACGTCCACGGAACGGCTCACAGATTCCATGTCGGCCGCACAGATTCCAGGTGCTCTTCGATGTGCCGAAGCAAATGTGGAACCACGGCTCCCTCAAGAACCACAGCTCCAGCTGGAAAAGCCCCCTGAACTTCCTGTATAACAGGAGATCCCCAACTCAAAAGCAAGATCAAGCGCTTCGTCCCAAGGTCAGAACCCTGGGCCGCTTGGACCCATTTCCCGATTTCCCGATTTCTCCCCACCTGGTCGCAGTCTGCAAGCACCCGGCTGATAGCCCTGGACATTGCCTAGTGAAGGCTGGTGGGCAGGCAGTGAACCCTCTGTAATTTTCCAGGGAAGACCTATTGAATCTAGTCATCCTATGTCATTCTGTACTTCAATCTACCATGAACAGCACCAACTCCCAGAAATCCTTTGCAAGAACTGCCAGCAAATCCATTTTTCATCCTTCTTCCCTACATCAAAAGGCCAAATTCACTATGTTTCACCAAGACCACCTCGCCCTTTCATTCCTTTCCACAGGGCCTCCATAGACCACTCGCTGCGGCATGCGGCCAGTCGCCGGATCAGCCGCTCATGCGGCGGGGCGCTCGCGGCGTCCTGTGGCCCGGTGGCTCGCGGGCGTGGAGGCTTGTGGTTCGGACAACCCCGCACATGTTTGAACCACAGGATGATTTGAAGGCCTTCAGGATGGTGTTGAAATGTTTTGAACCATGGTTTGAACCACGGACAAGCCGGAATGTATGAGGTGTTGCAACAGCCCTTCAGGATGTTCATTCGATTCGGTGTTCTAAATGAGAGTCTTCTGGGTCATGATTCCCTGCCACGATCCTACTTTATATATGAAGACTGGACTTGACAGGACCACTGGCCCACGAAATCCCACGACGATTTCCTTCAGGCCCTTCGACGAGCTCCTACCCAGAAGTTACATTGCTACTTTTTCCTGGAGAGGTCTCTGCAGGCACCGGAAAGTCACAGCACCCCCCACAGTTGTGCGGTTTGGGAGACGATACTCCAAGCCAGATTCTCTAAAACCATTTCGGGTTGTATGTTGTAGTCATCAGAAATCCATACTACCCCCCACACCAATGTGGTCCTCCCAATCAAACCTCATCAGGGCGTCCCGGCCAACAAGGCGAGCAAGGCAGCCGGGCGATCCAAATGTCCCAGGTCGGCCTCCACGGGGACGACTCCATCGAGATCGACCGGTGACTTGGTGAAAAAAGAGGCCCGAATTGAGCTCGGTTGGTTGTGTCTGGACTTGTTTGAGCTCGGTTCATGTCTGTTCGGTGATGTTTGGGTTTCATAGGGTTTTCCATGCTTGAGCCACCATATACAAAACGAGCGAGGGAGAGAGGGAGATCGATCCTTTTAGAACGCAATAGACTTGTGCAGTGCCAATCTATCAGGTTTTTCCTGGAGTGTTTGTTTTCGGTTCCAATGGACCCGCCTTCAGGGCTTGTGCAGTGCGGTGCAAGTCAGGGATGAACAAGTGCCTCAGAAATCGACGGAAACAGAGAAGCCCCTGAATCATCCCACCGCAATGCTGTTGCTCACACTGGTATACGGGCCACCCGAGGGGGACTGCGCTCTAGGCGTCAAAAGAATGTGCCCCCCGTAATTTGGCGCCCCGGGCTTGCTGGTGGCCGTACTTGAGCTGGCTCCGCCATGAGCACAGAGAGGCAGCACCGAGCCCTGTGAAACTGGAGCGAAGTCACGCGAAGTGTCATCCTATGCCGAGTCGTCTGTGTCCCCCGGAGCCCGAGAGTCTCCCTGGTCGGACCTCGAAGAGCTCTTTGTACTCTTTCACCTGAACGGAGCTCGGTGCTGGAAATCACCCCCCTCTCTCTGGCAGTTTTGGCTCCCAAGCCCCAAAAGCCGAGCCCCAAACCACACGCGCCGCGAGCCCCAAAAAACCACGGTGGCCTCCGGGTCAAACCACAGCTTCTGCCCACCAGGTTCCAGAAACACCCCCGTGTCCGGGTTGTGGAGCCAGCCCTCCTTGACCAATCTGCATCGGCGGCTTCGGCATGGTCACCATGCGTGTGGCGTCTAGGCGACTCAGATGGTGATTTCATGTGATTTCGACTCTCAGACTGGGAAAAGGTGTCCAAGATGTAAAAACTCCAAGACACCGAAGCTGCCCCCTCTCCTCCCCATAGGGCTTGAAGCCTGGCACCGCATCCTGAGCCTCCTGAAAAACAGGCCGCCACAAGGGCTCCAAAGGGATCGGTGTGACACCAACTAATATTCCCCACCCAAAACAAACAGCAATTTCTCAAGCCTTGAAAAATAGCAGCATATATACAAAGTTAATCAAAACAGATTCTGAGCCAGCAGGTATATCTAAAATAATATATATATATATTATTCTGGAACACGGAGTTAAAAGGGGAATATGGGGTCCATGCAAGCCATCCATTCATCTCCTGCGCATCTCCTCCCTTCGCTTTGAAGAGCTCTGGACGGTGTTGCTTCACATAGGACAAATTGGACTTGGTCCTGTCGCTCAGTCACATCAGCACATCCGTCCAACAAAGCCATCGAAAGTCGCCATCTCCACATGTCAACAAACCAAGCACATCCCATCACCTCCACAGTCATCGGTTCCTCTTTTGATTCACTGTAGATCGCCCTTGCTCCACATCCCACCCCAGCGACGTGCCAGGTCCACGCGGAGCTTCTCCCGACCGTCCTGGCCGTCATCGTCTTCTTCTTGGGCGCGGCAGTGACCTCCTGGAACAGCGAGGTCGAGCTGCGCCGTTCCGCGGGTTCCACCGGGTGGGAACAACGTTCCACCGTGCACCTCGACAGAGAAGTGTTTACAACAAAAATCATACACCGATACTCTGTTTCAAAGGACGATTTCAGAGCTGGTCTCCTTCGTTTCTCTCAACTCTCTCAACTCGTGTCGGCCCAAACTCCAACCGGCGAACCGGCGGTGGTTCCCACATCGCCAGAACCACCAGGGCTTGGTGCAACTAGCTGGACTTGCCATTGAGGATTCGACCCGTTCACCCTGCATCTTCCCGATGGTCCACCACCACCAACACCACCACCGCCGCCGCCGCCACCACCACCCTTAATGGACGACAGGTGTCGATCATGTATGTCTACCCCTATACATAGCTCTGGTCCAAAACACGTAGGAGTACAAGCTACCGTGAAGAAACACCGGTATCATCCCGTATCCACTGCATCCACCACTTCAGAATAGCTCCCAAAAGCTCGCACCTGTGAGGTGGCAACCTGCTGGAGTTGCTCTTGCATCATCAGGGTGTTCTGCATCGCAGCAAGGGCCAACCACTCCATCGCCCGGGACAGCAAGGGCGCGTTCGTTTGGGACCACGTTTGGAAGGCCGCGCTTTTTGCGGGAAGGTTGGCAGGGCGGTCACAGGTCCCGCAGGTTAAGGTGAAGTGAGTTTCAAGGTTGATCGAAGCAAACATGTGAGGACTTGGGCTTGAGACTCTGGCTACGCAACTGTACAAACATTACAGAAACAACTCGCGAAGGTATGATGCGGCAATCCAAAAACCTGCTTACTAGTGTTTATTAGGAGCATCATACAAGCCTGTATTGTGCCGAGCTGCTTCCGGCGACACACGTGATGCAAAGCTGGTCAAACATGGCCCCC